ACCTAGGGGGGCTTTAGGCAGGGGGGGCTTTCTGGGGGGGGGGGGGGGCTTTTGACCTAGGGGGCTTTTGGCAGGGGGGGCTTTTGGACTACACCACTAGTGTTAACCTCTATTAATCTGAGTAAATGTTTATTTATTAACATTTAAATATAATTTTGATTTTGAAGATCACAGTTTTTTTAACCACTGGAAAACATCTGAAAAGTCCAAAAAATGAAGACATTGAATATATGTGGGTTCACTTTTTTAAATCCTTGAATCAGTCAGAACTTTTGAAGATCTATTTATAAAAAATTATTCCTTTCAACAAACCTTTTTTTAAAGTCCCCAGCATGAGTTTGTTGTAACAATATTTTACTGTATCTATGTGCAAAGAGAGGATGAAACGATTCCGGAATCAAGCCTTACTTCCAAGGTATTCCTGAGAAACGAAACCTTCAGCACCCAGGATAACTTCATGGAGGTGACCTTGGAGTACAAGGCTTTGGATGGATTTGCTTTTGACGGCGCTCCTTATTGGTTCGTTGATAAAGTCATGGTGGAAGATGACCTAGAAAACAGGTGAACTCCATGGAATTTTTATTATCATTAAAATTGCTAATTTTACTTGTATATTTATGCGTCTCTTATTATTTACTCGAGTACAATATATCAGGTGCACCTTTTTTTTCTAAAAATTGAGACAACAATAAAAGGGGTGCGTGCACGTTGTTGCAAATTTTAGTCAATCTTCATATGTGAAAGAAACCAATTTATCAAGCTCTGCTTGCAGTATGAAAGTTAAGCTCTCAAAGAGAGCAACAGCTTTAAATTTTGTTCCACTGCCTATCGAAAGACAATAGTTTTGACCTCTGCCAAAACTTGTCCTTGCTGGAGGCTTCTGTGCAAATTGGATTTCACCACAACTCCCACAAGAACAGGAATCTGAAAACAACCAACAGGCATAAAACTTGGAATCTTTAGAAATTGTATCTTGAGAAACAAGCAAATGGCTGCAAACAAGAGAAGTACTTTAATGCAGCTAAACTCAAAATTGTTTATGTCCTTGTTGCCTGGTTAGTTCTGATCACTTTGGCATATTTTATTTTCTGGCATTTTGAATAATTACAACATATGCAAAAACCTTGATCCCCAAATGGGCCAACAGGTAGGGTGTAAAATGATTTTTCAAATTTTCCAGAAAATGTGTCAAAAAATTTGTCATCTTGAATATGAATAACTGCTGGACTGAGCATGCAAAATTAATTATAAAAACATGTGAAACACAAAAAATTGGCTTGGATAATAATTTTTTTCTTTGTGCAATGATCAAGAAATAATGTTTTTGAAGATTTTGAACATCATCCAGCAGCAGGAAAATCCAAACAAATTACTTGGTTTACAGGCTTGACAGAGTTTTTCAGGTTTTACAAACAACAGATTTCAGAATTGTTTGGATAAATATAAAAAATATTTATCCATTTCATTCCTGATGACATTATCTAGCATCACAATTGTAACTTCAGAAGATATGGTTGCACTCATATTTAGCTCATATGATGAGACAATTTAGCCAACAAATGCACAAAATATTTTTTCCAAGGTTTAGAAGGCTTTTCCTATTGGGATAAAAGAAGATGGTACCTGCTGTGAGCCCCATTTTTGGATCAAGTTTAACATTCAAATATTTGGCAAATTTTTTGATTTAAGATATGAAAAAACTGTCCCAAAAGCCTATATACATTTAAGTGAAGTAAAATGAAGCAAAAATGGGTGTGTAGGAAAGTTGGCAGTTAATGGGTTAATCATCTTCATTATTCCTGACCTGCGCAGTATATATACAATATTATATAAATGTATTATATATATTTATATAATTTTTTCTATTTATGCTGCTGGTGTATACATAAAAAGTTATACAAGTTTAGGTGTGCATTATACTGTTTTCCTAATTTTAATGATAAAATTGGGCCAGTTTTCTCAGACAAACACATTTATATGGCAATGTAATATTGAAAAATATTTAAATTCAGGTTCATTTGAATTTTAGTGATTATATTACTGTATAACTTCTTGAATATATCAGTTTTAGAGTCACTAAAATTGGGTTTGTGTCTTACTCCTAAATACAATTGAATTAAAATTTTAAACTGAGAAACCTGGGTTTGTATCTTACTTGAGATAAATATACAGTATTGAGACATGTATTGATTATTTCTTTGAATATTCATGCATGCATGAAATGTGCAGATATTATGGATGCCTGGTGATGCTGCAGTTGGAAACCGGAGTTCCTGTACCATTGACTCTCACAAATGCTGATTGCTAATTTTGGTCACGATTTCGCAACATGACTCGAATTTTTGTTGAAGACGAAGAAAAATGAAATGATCCTCCGTTTTTCCACAACGTTATGATTTATTTAAAATCAGGAAGTTCATAACATCACTTGCAAAAAGCGCCAGGAATTCTTGATATGGTTCCTGATGGAAGCATACTATATATATATATATATATATATATATATATATATATATATGTCCCATCTGAAAAATAAAGTTTGAATATACAGTACTACAGTATTATTTATAATATTTATTTCAGTTTTCAATTGTGCCTTATACTCGCTCGCAGAATTTGGCAAAAAAAATAATGCTGGTACAGCACTATGTACATACAGTGCAGAAATTCAGAAGTTGACCTGCATGTTATCAATTACAGTATATGGGTTTAATATATAATTATGGATTTTAATATTATTCTTTAAAACAGTTTACAATGCCCTACATTAGTTGACATCATGATGGTTTCCCCAGAGATAATTTGATACAGCAGTACAGTACTTGCATTCAATTGCAGTGATGAAAGTTTGGAGTACAGTAGCTGTACTAATAATAAGCGGATATGTACTGCCGATAAATGAGTACTGTACTGTATATGCTGGTGAGTCGCTCAGAGATACGACACCTATACTACAAGGAATGAAAAGTACTTTGCGTCTCTTATTAAGTCGTCATTGATGTAGGTATTCATCGCAGAAAGAAATTATTCGATCGGCAAGCTACTGCAGCATTAAAGCAAAGGGATTCAGTACAGTACTAAAAAAAAACCTCGATGTGTATACAACTGAGAATATTCCTGAATATTCTGTTTGGAATTTTAGATTTTGCAAACTGGAAGTTTTGTTGTTGTTATGGTAATTCTATTTAAGGAATGATTTCCTAACAAGATACAAATTTTCAATGGAATAATTTCTGGTAAAGATGAGTATATATATGTTCGGCTGAGCTGCTGAGAAAATAAACAACTGCAGCTGTAAGTAAACTTGGACAATTCACCCATTTTATCCAATTCCCAATATACTGTATGAGATCATGTTACTGACGTATGTTATAAAGATGGATGCTCAACATTCCAAGAATAGTAGAGAGGATCAACTGTATAACTGTGTATCCATACAGAAGAATATCTATATTACTGCTGTATATATAACTTTATAAGTTTATCTATGTAACTATTATGTATAATGTATAACTATATAAACCTATTCTGTAGATAACTATATAAAAAGAACTATAGACAAAAACGTTAAAAAAACAATAAGAATACTGTAATCGGTGAAACCCGTTTTTCATCTACCATAATTTTTCTTTCATACAAGATGAGGAATAGAGTTCGACACGTTTTGGAAAATTGATTAGCTGATGACTGGAGTACTGTATAGAGTGGAGACTCAGGGATTAACTGTTGGTCTGTGAGCTACCCACAGGAACAATCACCATAATCATGCGAATCTGTCTATATTTTCGGGGGCTGGGTATTTTCTGAAACTCGGATACATTCTCCTAATTTTCTGCAAAAGAAATCATGGAAAAGTCGCCGGGGTGGGACTTCCGCAGGTCTGCATCGTGGTTACAGTAATTATTCTATCCGAATAATTTTTGTTTCGTTTATTCTTTCCTGAAAGGACCATTGTGACCCCTTTCCAGCACAACTTCCACTATAAAAGCCACTCATCTCAGGGATTCTTCTTTCACGCCGCGCTTGTCAACGCCACTTTCTCTGAGCCACCAGTATACTGTACAGTACTGTAGTGGCTTTTAGTGAGTGACTTTAACTGCAATGATTCAGGGGTATATAGATTCTGGGAAGACTTCTGCGCCTTTCAGAGCAAAGAATTACGAATTTTTATATGAATAGAACACTGTAGACCATGCATGGTTGCAAATTAACAGTATTTTTCCTTCACCAATTTCTAAAAAAATTCATATTCAACAATATGTACTATTCCTTCAGTCACTCAATAATTTGCCTTGGGCGAAGGAGTGGAAATAAACAACCCTTTAGCGGAGGAGCGTGGAAGTGAGTGGCGGTGAGTTAAATACTACGATGGAACGTCCCGGCGTCAGAATCCTCGATGCAAAGGTTGGAAGCGAAAGTCGTAGTTGAACGGAATTTGATTGCGATTTAAATTTGCTTATCAAGTCCCCGACGGTTGTTCTATCCAGAGTTGCGCGTCGTCTCTCCTGTGATTTATTCGTGTTTTGCTGTTGATTTTTTCTTGCTGATTTCGTGTGAAGTTGATTCATTCTGTGTTCATTCCGTCAAGGTTCACTTATCTTCCTGATCTCGTGTAAAATGCGCGAAACAGAAGATGTGTGTGTGAGAGGATAATTGAATCGCGCGTATTCACCTTTGATTTTGCTCAGAAATGGTGGCATTAGGCGTGGTTGGTGGCTCGGTCTCGAATAGCCCTACGTTGATGTTGGACGACAATGGCTCGAGTCCAGTGTTCCAGTGCGAATTTTGCTGTCGTCAGTTCTCTTCTGCTGGGAATTGCCTTCAGCATGAACTAAGCCACGAAGAAAATTTGATTCTCCTTCAGTGTCCCAAGTGTTTTTCTTGCTTCGACGTCGTTGAAGACTTACTCGCCCATCTCTCGTCGTCTGCGTCATCTTGTCTCCAAGCTTTCGGTGGTCAGCAGGTAACCGTTGCGTCTGACAGCTGCGTTCACGCTGGTCAATGTCAGAAGTGTGAATGCTGCAAACGTTGCTTCCAAGTATGGTGAAAGAAAACTTTGGATCTCATGAGCTAGTCTCATTACTATTGTTGTGCTAGGTGAAGGATTCTGATTCTGCTGGAGCCTCATATAGGTGCGATACCTGTCGTTTGGATGCCGAAATCTCTAGATTGGTCGACCTTGAAGCTGCGAAGTGGGCCGAAGCTGCCGCCGAGGATTCAAATGCAAGCGCGACACCGTCTGATGTCAACAGTGAGTCCATCTGCGCGCTGATTTTGGATTCAGAAGAGGTTCACGGTGTAACGTATTTTCAGCGGAGACGATGGAAGACCAATTGAAGTGGAAATCGGACTCACCGAAAGAGAGCGATTCCAGGGCAACGGACACAGTTGTACATGTTCAGAGTTATCCGTGCGAAGAGTGTGGGAAACGTTTCACGAGACAAAACAGTCTCACGGTCCATCGCAGGCTGCACACGGGAGAAAAGCCGTACAGGTGTGCTCAGTGCGGACGCGCGTTTTCCGATAATTCCAATTACAACAAGCATCGGAAGAGCCACCACAAAACGGATCCGGGCGCACCGTCACTCCTTGATGTGGCGTCTCCTCTACCCGACGTGTCGGTCAACCGACGATCGACACCGACACTGATGTCGCATTATCACGCATGTCCGACGTGTTCGCGGTCCTTTGCGCATCCGTCGAGTCTCATGCGACATCGCAAACTCCTCAGACACTGATCATACTCGGCAAGTGTGTCGGGAGAAAAGCACTCAGACGAAAAGTCAACCCACCAGGAGATGAGCATTCATTCTCAAATGTTGACTGAATTGTATTTCGTTTTCATTTTTCTCAGGAATTACATTTTTTTGAAAGTGCAGTAAATCTTCGTAAAATCAGGGAGGCTTTGTGTGGTACGAAGAGGATTTTTGTTACTTGTGAAAGGCTGAACGTTCATTTTATGCGGGAAACGTTTCAAGTAAAAATCGGTTTATTTGCTGTCTACTTCGAAGATTTTTGCTAAGAAGTTGTTTCGAAAGAGACCGAAATTTGATCTGCTTTTCGTGTGGGTGCATTGCTCCTGTCACCAAGGCAAGCGATGAGTCGTTTTGCACGCAAGACATATCGTCATGGCTTCTTTTGTATCGCGTAATCGTTTTGTGCTCCGAAGTACTGAAGAAGCAATTTTTCTTACACCCCTTTCAACCTGTCGCTGTGATCCCCTTTGTTTTTACCTGTTCATGCCGGTGGTTCACGTAACCTGCCGATTTTTATCTTGTGTGATGACTTCCTGCGTGTGTTCACTGGGACCGGATTGCCAAGAGGGATTTCTTTTTGTGTGAGTGATGATAGATGGAACCAAGAAACGCAACTTTAGGGGACGTGTGATGATAGTGTTTTTACCCTGTTCGATTGTTGACTCAGTTAGCATGAGGCGTTGTTGTTGGCACTTTTCCACTTTGAAATTTTGTAGCCGCTTTGTAAATTTTGAGTTGTTATTTGCTTATTTATTTACCTGAGTGTGTGAAGTCCCGTGTGCATTCTGTCATGATGCCCTGAAAGGTGGAGCTGTAAGCGATAAGTGGAAGCTGATCTCTGTGAAATACTTCAAACATAATCGGAAAGGCATTCATTGTTATTGAATGTTCTGGTTCGACCATTCGAAACGCTTTGCTGTTCAGTACTTGTTCAAGTCCCAGTTTTAGGTGGTGTAAGGGAAAGAAATTGAAGTACAGTACTAGAATATTTTTGTTAACTAGGTTCTCTGCTCTTAGTTTCATTAAGAGGCACGTTCGAAAACTCGTTACACTTTCCTGACATTTCGTTTGATGACTTCGCTTCAAGCATTACTGAATTTCCGTGCAGAATCAATGCACGAAATGTAATGAAGTAATGTTTCCCAATGCTGCATTGTTGAGCTTTCCAAAACCGGTCGATTAACATCTGTGAAACCTCAAGATTTGGACATTTTGTCTGTGACCGACGCTGAATATTTAGAATTTGAGGCCTTGTTCCTTGCACACACACTTTGGTGTTTAGTTCTTGACCATGTTAATCGAAATTGTTCCAATTTGCCATCTAACAGGAAAATGTATCTAATGTAACAAATTCGTAATGATCTACAGTATGGTCTTATCACCCTGCGAAGATAAATTTTCCCTCTTACTGTGTTAAAGAATGAAGGCTAATTTTCTTGAACTTTGAATCCGAGGCTGCATTTACTGTATTTGAAGTACAATACAGTAATAGAATTAAACGGGGTGAAATTGGTTAGTGCCCATAGTACCTGGTATGGAAAAACCGAGTTACTGTTATTCTGAAGTGAAAAACATTGTTTTAGCGTTTTTATTGTTATCCTTAATGTAATTTTTTTAATGAAGGATTGCCAAACGTTGAATTTGGATGCAGTTTTAACTGCGGTCTCTACCTCCACCGTTTGAAGAGATAAGGCCCGTCGATTTTTTCCTGTCGTATGACGTGTGTTACTAAAATTCCGCGATTATAGACCGCGTTTTTCTTGTTCGAAAATGCGCTGAAAATCTCGGATGCAGCTGAAATTTGATGAAGAATTATGAAATCAGGGAAAGAAACGGTAGGTGAAAAATACAAAAATCCTGCCATTTGAAATGTATCCCGGATATTTTCTCCCCCCGAGGCAAATTCATAGTGTTGGGTAGGTTATTTCAGGATTTCTTGCCTTTTTTTGTGTGGACCGAGTCAATTCTATCTTCATGCAAAGTAAATTTCGTCTGTATTGCGTTCTAGAAATTATTTTTTTGCGTGTATTTATTGAATTTACCAAAAAATTGCAAGATTTTGATGCTGCTGATGAAAATTGCTCTATTCCAATGGTTGTCCGAAGTTAAGCTGAGACTGATAATCGCTGAATGTTGATATCCTGAATTTCTGTGGTTCTTTTGTCAAGTTCATGGATTTAATCTCTTGTGATGGGAAGTTCGTAATCCGAAAGTCCAATTCCAGATCTCTCTGAAAATTTCTTGCATAAATTCTTGAATGATATACTGGATAACCACTTGTTTATCGTAAAATAAGAGCAAAAAATGACTATAAAGTAGGTGAGAAATATTCGACGGCCTGGAAAATTTTTTTCTCGTTTCTTCTGTAATTGAAAGCAAAATGAAAAATTTGTGGCAGCCCAAATCCGTTGGCCGGATTATGGACTAAAGTACCGTATTTGTGACGTCCCTTATCCGGGGTACCACTGGGTGAAAATTACGTCTAGATCGCGATCAATTTATAAAGGAATCGGATTTCCGAGATGTTTTTCAAACCTGAGGATCATCACTGTGCAAATTACGTATTCGGTAAGAATTTTTTGTTTTTCGCTGCCTATGAATGTTTTTTGTGCGAAACACCCCAGGGTTGGCCCGTAATCTCGCGAGTACGATGTCCCGAAATATCCCCGATACTTCAATGCGTACGGCGGGTTTTTTGTTGTTGCTGTTACTGGCATTGTAAACGCAGAACCTTCCATCCCTTGTTGTCGCGAAATGAAGTGAACCTTGCTTAGTTACAGGCTTCTTGTCAGAAAAAAAAAATGCTATGTCCTGTGAATGGGGTAAGACTTTTATCTTTTTTTTTTGCAGGTGCTGCTGGGGGATGCGTGTGACTCCCGCAGCGGGTGAGCAGGAGGGCTGCTCATCTCGGGTGAGGAGGCGTCGTCGCCGCCCGCGGCGTGTTTCCGTCAAATTGTGCGCCGCGGAGAAAACGAGCGCGTTTCTCTCTTCTCCTTCCGCCTCTCGTCCTCTGCTGCTTTGCGAATCTTCTCCTTCTTCTTTGCCTCGCTGTACGTTTGTGTCTCTTATCGCGCGTGGCGTCTGGATGCACTCGAGCAGTGCAGAGTGGGAATGAGTGGCCCGAGTCCGCCGCCGCGTCCTTTACCGCTGCTGGCGGTGGTCGGAGCGTCGACGCCGCCGTCGCCGTATGCACCTTTCCAGCAGCAGCAGCATTCGCACCCGAATCAGTGGAGCAGTCCGTCGTTTCTACGATCCTTTAGCTCCCCGTTTCCGACAACGTTTGCTGCTTGCAACGAATCTGTTCAGCGGGACCAGTACACTAACAGCATTGAGGATGATGACAAGGAGGTGTTGGTGGGACGTTCTGCTCAAGTGTTGCTGGCGTCTGCGGGATGCGGGCCTCCGCACGAACACCAGCGGTATTATCATAGGGGTAATTTCGAGTCGGGGTCTGCGCCGCATTCCAGGATGGACGTGGTGCACGAGACTGACAGGTCAGGGAATTTGACCTGATTTTGCATTATTTTGATTTTTTGGTATAAAGTATTGTTTGTCATGCAACCTTCGGACGTGCTGCCTCAATTTCAATGCTATCTCTTTTGGTCGATACGTTTTGTACAAAAATTTTTATTTTTAATGGCTTTTTAAAGTACAAATGAAATTAACTCCGCGAGTTAAATGAATTTCTTTCGGAAGCGTTTCTCACAGTTTTTGGAAAATTCTAAAATTTATTGGGTTGCGAAGTTAGGGTAAAATGAAAGTGAAAGTCAAAAACTCTGCTCCGAGAGCGGTAATGACCTGTGCTATTTTGGAATTTTGTTATTACACTCGAACCTCTTCAAGTCGAATTTCAAGGGACCATGAAACATTTCGAGAGATAAGTTTTGAGAAACAAGAATTTTTGTTGGGGATTGAAAAAGAATTGCAGGAAATTGTAATTGGTCATATTCTGGGCCTTAAATTGCTTCTTAAATGATTTGACAGGATGATAAACTTGGAGGCAAGGGTTCGTTGGCTTTTCTTTTCCCNCTTCAAGTCGAATTTCAAGGGACCATGAAACATTTCGAGAGATAAGTTTTGAGAAACAAGAATTTTTGTTGGGGATTGAAAAAGAATTGCAGGAAATTGTAATTGGTCATATTCTGGGCCTTAAATTGCTTCTTAAATGATTTGACAGGATGATAAACTTGGAGGCAAGGGTTCGTTGGCTTTTCTTTTCCCTGTGTCAATGAAATAATAGCCGAAAGGACCCCAGAAAATTCGAGTTGTGGAGGTTTTTAATGCATTATTCGTAAGGGAATTTATGCAAGGACTTGAAAATAATTTTAAAAAAAATATTCGATTGTTTCGACGATTTTTTTCAGATAATTCGGACTGCAGGAATAAAATTGTTCGCAGATCAAATTCGCTGAATCCTGATATTATGTCTCGAGGATATCCTGCCTTTTAAAGTATTTTCACTCCTCTTTTATGCGTTTTAGAAAGTGCTGATTTCGGCTTCTTTGCCTCACCTTCTGATTGAGAATTGTCTTTCTCGGATTTGAGTGTTAAATTCAATGTGATTCCTTATTTTTTCAGAAGGAGTAGGGATTCAATCAACGACAACGGGAACGGGTCAGTGTGCAATTGTTCATGGGGGGTGGTGGAACGAGCGACGGCGAGTGATGGCGAGAATGAAGCTGACCAAGAAGAGGAAGACGAAGACGAGTATGACGACGAGTCGAGCAATTGGTCATGCGAGGCTGCTCTAGATCTGACGCTAAAGAAGAAGAAGGTAGACGAAGACGCCCTCTATGTAGAACCAGATCACCGAAAGCACGAGGAAGACACAAGCCAGACAACATGCTCTGCCGACCCCTCGTCTGGTTGTCCATGGACCAACACAGAGACAACGTCGACACCGATGATAACAACAACAACAACAACAGCAATACCGAAGGCGATATCCGCAGCACGTCTAGGAAAAGGACGACGGATGGGCAAGGATGACGTGGAGAGAGATGGTCGCAAGAAAGAAGACGAGGAAGTGCAGCAGAGTGCGAAGACGAAAGCGAGCAGCAGTGAATTGGACGAGTTTCTGACGGCGAATTCTCGCACGCTCATTGGGTCATTCCGGTGCAAGATTTGCGGGAAGACGTTGTTGAGTTTGGACGCGTTGTCGGCCCACCTGCAACTTCATTGCTCTGCCGACGGATTCACGTGTCCCGTGTGCGACCGGGTCTTCCAGAAGAAAAACTCGCTCAAGGGCCACTTGAAGCTTCACGAAGGCAGAGACGTGTATCCCTGCGAATACTGCTCCAAGGTTGGCGAGGGTGACATTTTAGATGAATGTGAAAGAACGTTTATATTTTTTAGAAGTTTGTGTACCAACACGTTTTATTCGTTTTCACAATGCATTACAGTAGTTGGTGTCTCATCTCCAGCCCAGCCCGAGAAGAGAGGAATGTAATAGTTCCCCTGATGAGAATTACAGGTGGACCTTCTCTACAACGAAATTCAAGCGACCAGAAAAAAAAAATCGTTGCTGAGAGAGTTTTGTTGTAGAGAACCCCTATAACATTCGGAGAGGACCCCATGGAACTAAAGAAAAATTTGTTATACAGTACTAGGAAAGTCATTGTGGACAAAATCGGTTTATAGAGAGCCTAATTGCTTTTTTGAGAATGTTTTCTTAGTGTATTGAAGTACAGTACAGTGGGTTTCCGCATGCCAAAAGAACAATATCTTGGAAATAAAATGCATCAGCATTTAAATTTTGGCTTGAATTGAACCCCAATTCATTTATTTTAAATTTTTCGAATTGAATTTTGTTTTCAAAATTGCTGAAGAAAATCATTGTGGACAAGATTTTTATTGAGAGAGTCCACCTGTATTTTCTTGAAGCTTCAGATCACTGCTACCCAACTTGAAGGTGGCCGAGGGCCATATTAATATAATTTTTTAGTCAAGGTTCACATTGCAGAGGTCGAGAGTCCTTGCAGGCCACAACAGACAATGATATTTGAGGTTCCAAATTTTCTTTTTTTTTAATTAAAAATTTCAAATTTAATTCAGCAGTGCCATGCATTGAATCACAAGCATAGCCTTATNCTCATTGGGTCATTCCGGTGCAAGATTTGCGGAAAGACGTTGTTGAGTTTGGACGCGTTGTCGGCCCACCTGCAACTTCATTGCTCTGCCGACGGATTCACGTGTCCCGTGTGCGACCGGGTCTTCCAGAAGAAAAACTCGCTCAAGGGCCACCTGAAGCTTCACGAAGGCAGAGACGTGTATCCCTGCGAATACTGCTCCAAGGTTGGCGAGGGTGACATTTTAGATGAATGTGAAAGAACGTTTATATTTTTTAGAAGTTTGTGTACCAACACTTTTTATTCGTTTTCACAATGCATTGCAGTAGTTGGTGTCTCATCTCCAGCCCAGCCCGAGAAGAAAGGAATGTAATAGTTCCCCTGATGAGAATTACAGGTGGACCTTCTCTACAACGAAATCCAAGCGACCAGAAAAAAAAAATCGTTGCTGAGAGAGTTTTGTTGTAGAGAACCCTTATAACATTCGGAGAGGACCCCATGGAACTAAAGAAAAATTTTTTATACAGTACTAGGAAAGTCATTGTGGACAAAATCGGTTTATAGAGAGCCTAATTGCTTTTTTGAGAATGTTTTCTTAGTGTATTGAAGTACAGTACAGTGGGTTTCCGCATGCCAAAAGAACAATATCTTGGAAATAAAATGCATCAGCATTTAAATTTTGGCTTGAATTGAACCCCAATTCATTTATTTTAAATTTTTCGAATTGAATTTTGTTTTCAAGATTGCTGAAGAAAATCATTGTGGACAAGATTTTTATTGAGAGAGTCCACCTGTATTTTCTTGAAGCTTCAGATCACTGCTACCCAACTTGAAGGTGGCCGAGGGCCACATTAATATAATTTTTCAGTCAAGGTTCACATTGCAGAGGTCGAGAGTCCTTGCAGGCCACAACAGACAATGATATTTGAGGTTCCAAATTTTCTTTTTTTTAATTAAAAATTTCAAATTTAATTCAGCAGTGCCATGCATTGAATCACAAGCATAGCCTTATAGATTTTTCAAAGGGCCGAGCAGCATTTCGAATTTTTAAATTCGTCTATCAATAATATTTTAAATAGTCGTGGCTGCCTGACTTGAGAATTTTAGGGAAGGGCCGATTGGACAGATGAAGAGTCTCTGAGGGCTAAAACTGGCCCACGGTACATCTGTTGGCCAGCACTGCTGTAGATGATGGTATGGGTGAAGTGCGATCCTGATCAGCTCTCATTGTCCTTTTTTTTTTCCCCCTCCAAAGGTGTTCCCTTACCGATCAAAGCTGGAGATCCACGTGCGGAAACACACTGGTGAGAAACCGTATCCGTGCGGGATCTGCGCCCGTCGCTTTTCAACAAACTCTGAGCTGCGAGTGCACTTGCGTGTGCACGCCAACGACCGCCGGTTCGTGTGTCCCGTCTGCGCTCACAGATGTCTCACCAAGTCGGCCCTGTCGGTGCATCTTCGTCACCACACGGGCGAGAAACCGTATGTGTGTCACGTCTGCGGAGAGGCCTTCATGTCCCTGTGTCGACTCAAGACGCACAAACTCCGGGTGCATCACCATGAGCACAATCACCTGCCGAACCAGTTTGACGATGCCAATGACCAAGAGGCAACGGCAGTTGCTGCGGCCGCTGCAGCAGCAGCAGTCAGTAGTGGTTGTGCGACGAAAAATGATGCGAAATAGGAAAAGAAAAGAGAGGCGAGGAAAAATTTCCTTCATAACGTTACTTTTATCCCCGATTCCAATTGACGTTTCAGTGTTTTCATGCGCCATTTTTGAGCTTGGCATTAAATTTTTTTACGCGCGTCGTTTTGAATAGCGCTGTAAATTTTGAATATAATCCTTCGTTCAGTACAGTCAAACCCACGATAAGACCACCCCCGATGAGCCGCCACCCTCGGTAACCGCTGATTTATTTTGGAAAACGAATATGCCCGTATGATAATACCGAATAAGCCATGCCTCGAAAACATTGACTATTCAAATATTCTCCCGTCTATTAATGTCGTCTTCGAATAATCCGCCAACAAGATGCAAGTTTCTGCGAGAAATCTCCAATTGGAGAAAACACGAAGATGAGTGAATGTACTTCTTGGGAACATCAGCTAGATGTAATTTACGCATCCAAGGGTTATTTTGATTGTTTTCTAGAAGAATAAGAATTGTATTTCCTATTATACTCAATTTTCATATTAATTCAGCATTTTTGATGAACCACCGATCCCCTTTGAACCGCCACGAACAAATTCTGGCGGCTTATCGAGGCTTGATTGTACTATTAGGAACCGTTATCGAACACCACCTCCGGTTTTCGTGACAGGGAAATTGACAGCGACAAATGAGATATTGAAAAAGCTTTTCCAGGAACGCGCTCTTTCAAATCACGAACGCCATTAATATTATTTGGTGCACAGGGTATCCTGAAACTGAAAAGTATTGTGCAGTAGGAATTGTTTCATGTTATAAACGTTTCGATGTCGTTCTTGTGATGACAAATTGCTTCATTGTGGGCAGATGTCACTGGTTGTTTACTGTGCTCTCAAATTTTGCTTTTTGTGATTCTAAAATCCCTCTGTTTCAAGTGTCTTCTGTGTGCACTTTGGTAGCATATCTAGGACGATCTGGTTGTTTGATTAACATACTACTGTATGTTAAAATGCTGGAAACCGATTTTTCCCTCTTCGTGCTTCAAATAATCATTTCAAATATTTCCTGTTGATTCACTGCCGATTTATGTTCGTGCTTATATTTTTGATTTACGCAAGATTTTTGGAATCATTAGGAAAATGCTGACTTTTCCACTGGGTAGTTAATTTTTTGGATACCCGTGCAGGTAATCGTGTGAATTCAGAAAGTCGTTGCTAAAGGATATTTTAATTTGGACGTCTAATTTGATCAATTCACCTTGTGCATTGTGATTTGAATTTCAAAAAGCTTCTTTTTTCCAGTGATGATTTATTTATAGGTAATTGAGAATTTGATAAGTCGAAAGAGCTTGTATCGAGGGAAATATTTGAATTATTTTCTTATCCTCTCCGCCTCCAGGAATTAAAGTGCAGTAATTTACTTTTGCTGGTCCTTATTTTGGACCTTGACGATGAGGAATACAGTGATTTGAATTCCGGTAGAACCCGTTCAGAACGCCTCCCATGGAGAGAAATGACATTGAAAGCATATTCTCGAACATCGCGAAGCTTGATTCTTTTATTTGATCTGCAACAGTCCAGTTTCACTACGCGTGCCGTTTTTCCTGTAACCCTTCCTCTGAGAGGGTGAAATGACGAATGCAGAATGGGTCAGGGTGTTTCATCTTCCTAAGGAATGTACTTCGGTGTGAGGCCCAGGCTCGTTTTAAAACTTGCAGCCAAAGTTTCAAAAACTTCGAGTCGCTGTTTGAGTTGAGAAAAAAAATCAGGAACAGGGCAGGCTGTTGCTCAATTTGTTTTTTTTTCCGCCTGGGAAAAGGGATGAACAAGGCAAATTTCGAAAAAATTCACTCAGTGAGAGAATTTTCGAGAAATTGATGTTTTTAGAGACGGAATCTTTCTGACCAACGATTGATCCGTTTCGTGTCGAATGAAGACGGGGTTTAAAAAATAGAAAAGAAAAGGAAAGTCGGAAATCGACTTTTAGTTTTTATCTGTCATTGACGTTGTCGTCGTTGGTGTTCCTATCGAAGCTGAGTGAATGTTTTTAGCAGATTAGAGCGATGTTTGGCTCTTTTTATTCGTGTTTTCCTTTTTTTTGTGGTCGGGGTTGTCGCTACAACCAATGTGTACTTCCATTTTATTTTGTCGGTTTATTTCAATACAAGAAAGTATCATCACTGATTGTTATAGATTTCAGTATTCGGTGTTTAATTGCTGTGGTAGAGAAGAGGAAGATGATTGTGTTAGAAGGGCAACCGGGTGTAACTTGAAGTGAGGAAATGCGCAGAACCGATCGTTACCAAAATCACTGAAACTTTTTCCGAAGGGGTACATTATCTCTTCAGTTTTGTTACGCCTGCCATCGTGTCTCCTAAATTTTATCTTTCATGGACGTGGGTGGGCGGCGAAAATAATTATTGAGCGATATTTTTCCACGCGGGTTACGTTTTTACGTTTTATTTTTAATTATTATTTTTTCTCTCTTTCCGGGGAAGTTATTTTTTCATAAGCGGGTAATTTGTTTTCTTCCCCCTTTTTCGATTTTTTTTCTGTTCGGCTTTTATTTGCGACAGTGGTCGTGAGTGGTGTGTCATATCATCTGAGGCCGTGATGATGGAGCGGTTAATTATATTTTTATTGGTCTTCATGAGCAAATGTGTGGATTCCTAGGTTCGTCCGAATGGCTTTCACCCCTTGTTTTTCTCAACCCCCCTTGGGCGTTTATCTGTGCGTCTCCCTGAATATTCGATTTTGGCAGTCCGTGTTTTTTTTTTTCTCGAGAAGCTGACGAGATTTTTTGATGATAATGGGTGTTGCATTGGTGTGACGGCTTGGCTGTAATGTGCTTTGAGACGGAAACTTTTGCTGTTGAAGAAAATTTTTTTGATGTTGGAGGGGTTCAAATTCAGGTTCTATTGTTTGCTCATAATTATAATTGGTACGAGGAAAATCGAGGAATGGGGAGAAAAGGACGAGGAAAACGCCGTGCCAGCTGTGAATGTATGTAATGATGTCATGTATGCTATGCCCCCGGGGTTTATTTTTTTCTGTCTGGCGCCGAAAGAGGCTTGGAACTCTGGTTCGAATTGCGTTTTGAAATTTTTTTTAATTTCCGCGCCAAGTCGAATCTTCCACGCGTTTAATTTGAAAGTGGAGAAATTCAGGTCATCAGATCTCACGATTTATTTTTTTCCGATTTTTTGATATCGTTGATGGTGTAAAGGAAGAAAATCCGTCATCTTTGATTAACGCAGTTTCTCTTTAAAAAAAGGTTCCCTGAACCTTCTCCAGTCATCAGAAGGGTATTCGTTGGTGTGTTGTAACTTCCGATTTTGTGGCCATTTTTGTAGAATTCAGATTGAATTTCCCCGCGATCTGATGATTTGAAGTACAGTACCTGCTTTCAAATTAAATAATGTGAAAAAGTTAGAAACTTGGATTGCACGCGGAAAATCTGACGCACCTCTCTTTTTTCATGCGAGCCTTCGTTGATATTTTTAATTTGTTGCGGGTGACGAGAGCAAGTATTTGTGTTCAGAATACGGTTTTTTTGGTTAATTTTTCGCATGCTGACCTTGTCGGAATTGCTTTTGACGATTTTGGTACATTTGGGGCAGCGAAGAAATGTATTTGAGGGAATTGTTTCGGACCTCGGTTGATGGGCATTGCCGGGACGGTCGTAGGGCTTGTGTTTTCCTCATTATTCGCTTCGTATCCCTTTCTTTTTCATTTGATTGGGCGAAGATCATGGACATGGAGCTCTGGTGTCGTGTCGAAAATCATAGCGATTTTTTTACGAATTGTTTCGTACGAAATCGCGGGGGTTTTTCAGACACGCATTGGTCCGTTATGTTTTCTTCTCCCCTCCCCCTCCCTTTTTTTCGTGGAAGTATGTCGCGTTCTTTTTTTCTGCCGAGGAACGGAGAGTTTTTAGTTGAACGGCGGTGGGAAGAGGAAACCAATTTTGCTGTTATCCATGTTGTTGTTGTTGTTGTTGCTGATGTCGATGGCGAGAATGAAAGAAGGGCAACACGTGGACACTCTGCCGTTCGGGGATCACATGGCGGCTGTCTCTCATGCGTCGTGTTCACCTGTGCTTTTTTTTTGTTGGACGCAGAACTATGCCGATTTTAGGTGTTGAATCGCTTTTGAAGAACCTTTACTGATTTACTGATGTGCTCCGATTAGTAGATTTTTGTTTCGTAAATTTGGATGAATTACTTTTTGAAAATTTGGTCAAGTTTGACTCAGGAAGGTCCGTTTCTCTCTTCAGCCGATTTTTTCGGACGTTAAGTTAAAAAAATAAACTCAGGAATGTCGGCCTTTTTGTTTGTCAAGATATTCAGATTTTGAATTGCCCAGTAATATTTTACAGGAAATTAAAATTATTTTACATGTAGAAAAATGGAATTGAAAATGTTAAAATTCAGCTTTAGCCTCTTAGTTTTTGTAGTTTTTTAAATACTGAAGCTTGAATCTAATCGTATTTTTACTTGGGCTACTTCTTCTAATGCTAAGTTTTCTTTTCGAACAGCTACAGAAACCGTGGTGTTTTTTTCAAAAAAGGACAATCAATTATTTTAAAAAATTAAACAGAATTATCGTATGAGTTGAAAGTATTTTTTTATTCTCACGCATAACTTGAATTATTGTCAATCGAAAATCTTTCTAACTTACTACATCCTGGGTCTACTCGTGAGCTCATGACACCCCGAAATATGTTTAAATTTCTATAGGTCTGATAGCACTTAAATCGCCTAGTGTTCGAAATGTTGGGGAAATGGTTTTGAATGTTGCACAAGCTTTTCAATTTTTGAAGATTGAACTATTATTTAATTTTGATGAAATCTGATTCATTGATAGCTTTAGTGCGGAGTAAGATAATTCTTCAGAAATGCTGTGCCTCGCATTACAAATCCAAGACGATTCCAGGTCCGAAAGAATTTCTTAGGATATTCCTTCAGTTAAACGTCGATAATTTGAAACCTTTTCCCATCGAATACCTCTCAATGTCGTATGTGTTCAAGTCCCTGTCTGAATTCCCTCGGAAACACTGCATTAATATCCTCCCTTACTCAAAAAGTTTTCTCTTCAAACCTCCTTTTCTGGAGGCCTTTTGGCTATTATTTTATTGATTCAGGAAGCAAAAATCAGTAAAACTGTGACGTGATGTGTTTTAATACTTTTCAAAGAAAGTGAATGACTAATTGGGCGAATAAGACCTTGCCTCTGAATTCAGCATCGCCTTTCAACTCATTCAAGGAGCAATTTAAGGCATAGAATATCGCCAATTAATTCTTCGTCCTTTCTCCCAACAAACGTGTCTGTTAACCCACCTCGAAACCTCCCGTCCAGGAATTTTTTCTGGTCCCGTGAAGTTTGACTTGAAGAGGTTCAACTGTATTTGGTGGATTTAGTTCTGCGTTCAAAATTCGGGCGACAATCCATTCCATTTCCGCGGTGTTGTTCATTATTTTGAGTAACGAGGAGTTTAATATGTGTTTCTGACTGATTTCTTGAAAGATCGCAAAGATGAAAAAGCATTCGCAGGAATGCCGGCCGTGGTTGTGTGACTGGATCGCGATGCGCCTCGTATCTGTGCTTGTGTAGCGCAGGGCGTGCATGTGACCGAGAAAGACAGAGAGCATTTATGTGACATGTTCAACAGCGCAGCACACGGGATGTTCGACCATCACCTCCATCACCTTCACCAGCACCAGGACGGGGCAGCTGCAGCAGCCATGCATCCAGGCTACCCGGGGGCCTACGGACAGGCCAGCAACCCTGCAGCACGGGAACCTCCCGATCTCAACAATAAGGTACAGTACAGTTCTGTTGTAAGGGGTTGGGTTTAACGCTTCTGCGGAAAATGGTATATTTTTTGCAAAATTGTGTGCTTGAGAGCACTGAAATGAGAAAAATAAATAAATCACCCGAGAACCAAGGCATGAGTTGGGAAGAAGTCCAATATTTTTTTTTGCTAGCAGAACATTTTTGCTTCAAAATGAAAAGAATTCTTTGCCATGTGTCGTTTTTTCCTGCGTTCTTAGCATAGGATTAGCATTGAAGATATTCCAGAACAAAAGGATTCACCCTTCCTGGAATTTTCTTGACTTGGGCCTTCTGAGCTCAGGTACATTTCAGTGATTTTGGGTCAAACTGAAATGCGCCTATGGGCAAAAAAAAAATCTCAACTGTTCTGTAGGATGGAAAGAAGGCTGTTGCTGTCCAAGGGTTAAAAATACCCCATATGCAGGTAGACTCTCTCTACAATGATCTTGTCTGTGTAACAGTTTTATCTGTATAACTATTATTTTTGTGGGCCCAAAGGATTCTCTCACCGTTTGGGGTTCTCTGTATCAAAATTATCTATTCGACAACTGTTTTCTTGTCCTTTGAGTTTTGTTGTAAGAAGAGTCCACCTGTATACTGTAATAAGCTCCTCCAGCGTATATATAAAATACTGTACTTTTCTCCCAGCATTTAATAAAGACCAGCTTCTATTAGAGACTGGAACGCATTCACGACTGCCAGACAAGAGAAAGAGAAAAAAAGGGAAAAGCCCGGTGGGAACCTGAGTCTGTTGTGCGAAGCGTCTCTTATCCAGAGTATAATGTTTTTCCCCCAATTAGTCGTCCGCTGGAGCGTACTTCTTGCAGCAGCCGAGCGACGCCGCCTCAGTTGTGTTCCAGCAGCAGCAGCAGCCACCGTCGCAGCAGCAGCAGCAGCTCCTCCTCTCGCAACACCCTCATCACTTGCATCAAGTGCAATTGCAGCTCCAACCCGCCGCCGGGACATCCGGCGCCAGCGCCGGCATCGACGACAAGCAAAAGAAGAAAAAGAAGAAGCTGCAAAAGGCCCTGGGCAAGGGCGGCGTCAAGACGGAGCGAACCGACGAAGAACGCGCCGCCGCCAACAGCCACAAGCCCTACGCGTGTTCCTTGTGCGGGAAACGACTCAAGTCCGCCACTTCGCTCATGTATCACGAGCGGACGCACAGTGGGGAGAAGCCGTTTGAATGCGTTGTTTGTGGCAAACGATTCGCTGCCGGCTCGGGTCTCAAGTACCACGAAAAGGTGCACACTGGGGAAAAGCCGTTTGAGTGCGTCGCGTGTGGACGCAAGTTCACCGTGAGCAATCATTTGCAGTATCACATGCGTGTGGTGCACAGTGGGGAGAAGCCGTTTGAGTGTCGCGTTTGCGGCAAAGAATTCCCCATGAACTACGCGTTGAGGGCGCACGAACGGACGCATACGAAGGACAAATTGCTCGAGTGCGGATTGTGCGGAGAGGATTTTGCGGACCGGAAAACCTTTAATAAACACGTGGCGGAGAAACATCCGCAACACGTGCACGCGGATCCCTCGTCCGTTCCGGCGATTCATCCCAAGCGACACGGCCCACACAAGAAGAAGCGGAAGATAAAGGAAGAGCATGAAGATGGGGATCCTCTGGCGGTGGCAGCAGGAGCAGGGACGTCGTCTGCGTCGTCCCTGTTGTTGCTCAACAACGGCGGCGGCAATTCTCTGCAGGCGCCTCACGCCCTGTCACAATATCAACTCGACCAGCATTTGGTGAATGGCGTTGGAGCAGCCGACAGGAAAACGGGGATGAACCACGACGAAGAAGACGGAGACGATGAAGACGAAGACGACGATGAGGATGAGGACGACGGAGATCGAGTTGTCGGTGGTAATAACGGCGCCGCGGGATCTGGTGGAGCGGAAGGCGGACCGCAAGCTGTGCCGCCGCCGGCGGATCGATTGGACCGTTGCCGAGTGTGCGGGAATTCGGCGGATTATTTGTGCCTGCAGTGTCGGAGTGTGGCGTATTGTTCCAGCTTTTGTCAAACGAAGGATTGGAAGTGTCGGCACGACCGGGAATGTAAGAACTTTCAGCGACTCGGAAACGGCGGCAGTGCGGCGTCCAATACCCACGGCAACAAATTATCTTCGTCGTGATGTCGACGACGACGATGATGACAATGACGGAGAGGATGACGACAGCGTGCTTTTTTGACGTGTGGAAACCATGAAACTCCATCCTGGTTTTTTGTTTTCGTTTTATTATCATTATTCTTATTTTTATTTCATCCTCCTGTTGGTGAGTGTGGTGGATGCGTGAGGTGTCTTGTGGAATTCCACGACGATGACGCGTAGGAGGGAGTTTTACGTGGGCGTTTTTGACGGTCTTGCGGGTCTTGCTTCAAGTATTTTGTTTTTTGAGCGTCGGAATTGTTTGTGAAGTCTGTTCCTGAATTCCCCGGGCTTTCCTGCGGCTTTTACGTTTCTTTTTTACCTTGGTCGTAGCCGTTCTTTATTCTTGCGAAAATTGAAGATCCTTATTGACATATTAATGAAAGTTTCGATGAACAAAAGATGTAAGCTGATTTACGAAGGGTACGACTAAAGCATTGTTTTTCTCCACTTTCTCAAAAATAAGTAGATGTAAAAATTGCAAATGACTAAAATATGGTTTTATTTTCTGCAGAAAAGTGTTCAACGAATACATCCACTTGGATGCCTTCCTTCGATCTTCTAATTTCCCGTATTTTTTACTCATAGAATTATTGTACAGAAAGGATAGGACTCGAGTATCACGCATGCAATTTTTTGTGCGGATAAAAAATTCCTTGTATTTTCTTATTGTCTGATGGGGATTGAAAATTTTTTTCAATTCAGAAATATTTTTATGACCACGATGCGTTTCATCATCAGCAACTGGTTACAGCATTTACATTATTTTAATCCAACTAAACTCTGAACAGTCGAAAGGATCAGCTTTTAAATTTCTGTGGGTCAGCGATTTCTTTTACTCAGTTTCATTTCTTTCTTTCATTCTGTTTCATTTCTTTCATTCATATTTATTATGCAACAGCGATGAAAATACTTTTGAGTAGCCGGGAAGCCAGTGAGGGACTTCCGGGGTGAAATTCCATTCAATTCTGACGTAGAAAATTGATTTCTTGCCCCCCCCGAAGATGGACTCGCAAGATTTTTCAAATACTGTACGTCCATCGTGAAATGGATCTGTGTATTTACATGCTGGTATGATGATACTGCATGGTCGCCAATTCTGATTTGTTCCTACATACATAATTTTATTTTATTTTTTTTTATCTTCCTAAATATTTGTGGAAGTAATCTCACAGGGATCTGGTGAAAGGAAATTAATTTGAATTGTTTAAATATTTATTCATTAATGATACAAGCGGAGAGACATGTTTCTCGGTTTGGTTTATTTCGAACCGAGATATATCTTGAGAGACGTCTTTTTTTTTTAAGAAGAAATTTTTCGCGCATGCTATCTTCTTTTCCTGGTTTTTGTGAACCCACTGGGAGAGAAAGGATGATTTTTCATTTTTCTATCGAAACCCGAGTTTGCAACGCGGTCGAATAATCAATGTTTTTTCGCGGCGGGTTTTTTTTCCTGTCGCAGGTGCTTTTTTTGTCTTGATAGTATTCGTACGCGTCGGGCCTTTCTGAGCGAATGTGGGTAACTGTTCGTGAGGCCCTGCATTTCTTTTTATTTTTAGTGTAAACATTGTATTCTTTCTGTGTGAATTTCTCTGTCCCGTAGGCTGATGTTTGGCGAATGGGGGATGTTGATTTACCGTGTCTTTTTCAAGGTTACCATGAATTCCCGAGTTGATGACCTTTTCCAAATGAGACCTAGGGCAACATTTTAGTGTATTGCCGTCGACGAAGCCCTATTCTTGTTGTAGATTAACAATAGTTACCGTAACAAGTGGACGCCATCGATTATAAATTCTCGAATCAATTCGTTTTGCCCAAATGATCACTATTACCCAACTTAATCTCCTCGAGCAATTGATACGGTATTATAAAATCTTCAGCCTTGGACCTGAAATGGATAATTATAAGTTCAGTTGAATTTTAGAATGCATATTCACTTTAGGGAAAACTTGTACTCTTGAGCATTTGCGAGAATCTGGAACACCATTGAATGCAAGATCCGCCATGATTTTTGTCAGTTAAATTTTTGAAAAATATTGCGTCTTGATTCGAAAACTGCATTTCAAATTATGAATAGTGCGAATTGCATTATTCTGAGTCATGGAATCTAAGTTGCCTTGATCCACACAGCGAAAAAATATGCTTCGTTTCTCGAAGATTGTGACAATTTCAAGAACTTCTCAAAGAAGAAATAAAGTAAAATTTTGATTTTTGAAATTTAAAAAAATCCTGAACCATTTTGGGCTGACGAAATTATTCTGAAAACCTGAATTTTCAAAAATATAAAATTATATTAAAGAAGAACTTATTCTTAGCACTGATACTGATGCAGAATTTAAAAAACATATTTCAAAAATTGACGCCTTGCATAAGTTTCACCTTTGCGAGAAATATTATTGAACATCTAACATCACTGGAAAAATTGTACAGTATTGTTTAAATCCGTGAGAATGTTCGAGAAAAGGTTAGATTTGAGTTTTTCCTAGCTAATGTATTTATGTTCCAAATAGGTTCACAATTTTTCAAAATTCAATAACTTATCCGTTGAAGATCATTTTGCTTTGCTTGACACACGATTTCATTGGTAAGCATTCGATCGTCCGTTGAATTCCCTATTACGGGTCATAAATATTTTTACACGATGTTGAATATTTTCGAGTTCTTGGAAATTAAAGAAGAATCAGGAAATGTCCGCCAAAATAACTTTTTGCAAACATTTACCAGTTTTTTTTTTTAGGACATGCACTTCATGGTAACATTTGCCTACGGGAAATGTGTTCACTCTGAAAGGATACAATGTTTTAAAAATATAGTCCGAACTTTTTAAAGTTTTATTTTTAGCTGTAATACTGATATTGTGTTGCGAATCGCGAAATGGAGGATTCTTGTTACATCTACGAATTTTTAGTGGTGGTAGCGCATGTATGTATCTTATGTATGTACGATTGTTCGGTGTGTTTAGACAAAAAGAAATCGCCAATGGTCGAATTTTAATGCGGGGCTGAGAGAGACGTTGAGGTTTTATCATACTCGTATATGTTATTTTTTCGGATTTGAAGTGGACTACTTCAAAAGATGCGAAATAATGGTTTATTTTGTGAGTGTTCTGTTTTTTTTCTTGTGTTTGTATGCGTGGCAGGAAGAATCTCTTGTTCCAGTCGTTGAAAACGCACGATTGATTCGAATCGCATTTCTCGAGGCGATGGTCTCGAAAATTGGTTTGACTTGTATTGTTTGAGAAGAGAGGGGATTACGTAACGCGAGCGAAAGAACAAGTGGACAAAGAACTCTTTTTGACACTCGAACAAAGACCAACTTTTGTTCCTTCTTTATTTCCTCGTTTTTGCCCTTTCATTTCTTGAGAAATGTTTTTTGGGATCGCGTGATCGATTCTCATAAAATTCTCTTACGATTTTTTTTTTTCATTTCAGAGAATTGGAGATGAGTGTGTTTGAAGATACAGCTAGTGCAAGCTTTGAGGTGAGTGGGTTTGAAGTTTTTTAAAAATTCCATTTCCTTCTTTAAACTTTTGAAAATAAATTTTTGATCGATTTTTATAAATTAAGCAAGAAAGTGCTATGCAGTGGAAAATTCAGCATTTTTAGTTATGTCCGAAATATCAAGTTGAATACGTGCATGAGTGCATTCATGTCATCGGTCGATATCCTGAGCAATTTTATGAATGATTATTTGATTAAATTTTAATGCTGATTTTAATAAATTTTTATTCCGCGGTGGCAATACTGTGGTAAGCGTGGTAAGCAATCGTTTCTTTTCTGAACGGAGTGCTTTTAATTTGTTTTTCGATTGCAGGTTTGCCGGGTCAACAAGGGTACAAAGTTTGGAAAAGGAGGGTCGACTTTCCGTCTCCACGATTTCTTCGGGAAAACCGGGGATGAAAATGAATTCTATCGTAGTCTCGACCGTCTGGAAGCAGCTGCGAAAATTTCCAGCTACATCCAGTCTTCTTACGAGGTTTGTCTAATAAATGCAGATGCGTCTGAAAAAAAAAAGAGAATTTTATTTTATTTTATGAATTCCAAACAGGAAACTGTTGGAGATATGCTGAAGAAACTAACACTAGCGTTGGACGGGGAAATTGACAAGGTCATGGAGCAATGGGACAATGAAGGGAATGAAACTGAGAAGCAGGTGCCCACATTTGGCCTGAACTTTGGTATGTCGAACTCTGAGGAAACATCCTGGAAATTAAGCTAATTTCGTGGGTTTTCATAATTTTGCAACGAAATTCGTATTTTCCAATTTTACCTGATCTCACCTTATCTGCTCTAGTCCGACTTGACGCAACGATGTGATTAAATTCAACCATTTACTGTAAAAGTTGGGTGTAGGTATGAAGAGACTGCATTTTTATAGCTTTGATTACATTGGATTTTCCGAATTGAGTCGTGTTTCGGATAATGGGCAAAATCCTCAATGTAAATCTATGTTCTGTTCAAAATTTGTCCCTAGTCTGCGCAAGGTAAAATCTTTCCAAAACATAGATAGGGAGAAGCAACTAATTCTATTGATTCAGGATTTTTAGCGGCATGTCTGAGGGTCTTGGTAATGTTTCCCGAATTATTCAGTGAACTGCAGAATGAGAGAAAAGAAATTTCCTGTGATTGCCAGAGTTTTGCAATCATTTCAGAATATGCTGAAAATTTGACAAATCATTCAACGAATGCCTACCGAGTTGAATTTCAATGTGTCCTATATTTTGTTTTTGAAGTCACAGGAAAGGTTCAATATTTTTAGGGTTTTGTTTTAACACGCTAATGAAAATAATCGTCGGTTTTTTTATTATTAAAGCAGCAGTTTTTTTTTTCATTTCTCCAATTGTCTTCTTTGTCTCTCCGCACTTAGGGACAAGGTTCTGGAAAATTCATTGTTAAGAACGAGCGAATCTGAAATTGAAAAAGGTCTCTAAAATTGAGGTTAACAATTGGAAAAAGCTCCCCAAAAAACGAAGAAACGTAAAATCATGCCTTTATCATTAATCAGGAGCCATGGGCCACTTGGAATCGGAATTCATGAAAACGTACGCCTTAAAAGCTCGTCGAAAAAGCTGAAGCGATGCACGAAGGCAGAACTGACACGAAAAACGTGTACAGTTTTCCTAGTGGAGGGATGTGAGACTATGCCAGCGAAAAAGCTTAGGGAAATTGTCTTGTGTGCCATGTGAGTCGCTTTTCTTGTGTGGTTGATAATCATTTCCAGAAAGAAAAAAATACTTTAATGAGTGACCGAAGTGGGCAGCTTGAACGTACAATAAAGTACTGTACTTCATTTACTATTCATGAACTGCAATATTTTTGTGTCTTGGAAGAATTAGTCTCTTTTAGTACAGTGATGTCTCTTACAACAAATCTTTTTCCTCCCCGAAGAAATTTTCTGCCGAACTTTTCATATTTGCAGGAATTTACGAGTTAAAAAAGGGGGAGGGAGCCAGGTAAGATTGTCAATTTTTTTTGTTCAAAATTTAAGATATTGGAAACCCAGACCGAATCAAATCTGGGGTTATACAAGGTTAGTGACTCAGTCCACTAAATGGAACTAACAGCTACCCGCGAAAAAAAGGGGCAAAAACCTATATTACACGGGGACTCTTACTACGAAATTCAAGGGACCCAAAACAAATTTCGTTATAGAGTCTTTAAGCAAAATTTCTCGGAGATACCCTGGTTTTTGTTTAAGAAGTAGGTCTTTTTAAGCAACATCTCACTCAGATGGAGGAGACCGACTTTAGGTAAAAGTTAATAAAAGAGCACACTGGTTCTATATAAAATTTTCGTCGAGAACATTGATTAGTAAACGTGCTGCTGATGCACTAATTTTCAGGACCATACAAATGTATTACTTCAAGGATTTTGTGCCCGATTGAATCTTTACTATGTACTGTACTCAGCTAAATGTTTTAATTGCTGCTACCTTGTACATTTTTTTTCTCACTTTCGTCTCTAAAATGAGCAACTTATCTGCTATCAAATACTTTTGTAGTTATTGAAAATTTATACTGTATAGAAATCATTGAAAGTAATTTGTTTTGACAGAGCTATGCAGCGAGAGCAATCCGTCATATTGGTCCTCGGGCTATCCGAAAACGACAGCCAATTCCTCGGCCTGGACGACATCCTGCAGGTTGTTCAGCTAATCTTATCATTAATGCTTATTCATTTCACTTATTTCTCTGCCTGATGAACGCTTTTATTTTATTCATTTATTTTCTAATTCTCGACTATCACTTCTTTTGAAATGTAGCCGTGTGTGATGGACATGTTGAACGTCGTCTCAGTCTCTGTGCCGCTGATGCACTCGAAGCTGTTGAAAAACGATGGGAATTTATCCAACCAAGACCAGGATTTTTCGTCTATGATGTTTATTGGTCCAGAGGGCTTGAAGCTAGTGCGAAGTATTTACAGGAATGTGGATCATTCAGCGAGTCTTCTGAAGGAACGAACTCGGGTCAGTTATTATTAGGTGACTTCGCTTCGCTTAATTTTCTTTCTTGTGAATAGTTTTTCCTTCAGTTCATTGGTTACCAATACCTACTTCAAGTACATGTCCGAGGGGCTCCAACGAAAATTCTCGGAATAAAAATTTAAATAGCATATGACTGAGCTGAAAATAAGTCATCATGCGCGAAAACAAATCAGCTGTGCTTGATGTATTTTGCAGAAGTCATCCTGGAAGATTTCTGCTCTTCACTCAACACCCATCTGGCAGATTTTTGGGGTAGCCCAGCTTCTCCTTCAGCTCAATCATATGCAAAATCAATTTTTATCTCGAGAACTTTCATTAGACCCCTATTAGATTGCAGTAGTGAATAAAGACGGAAAATATGTGGAATGTCGATAAAACATGAACCCATTAAAATTGCAGAAGAGTAGTTCAACGCTTTTTAATAAAATTCTTTATTGTGTTGGGGATTGTTTTCGTTGTTTCAGAGTATTCTAGCTGCTTTTTTTATAATACGTGCTGTGTATTGAATATACACTGTTATCCGTAGAAGATGTTGTGGAGGAATCCCCTTCGGGATCACCCTAACCGAAATACCATTACGCTATTTTCTGTTGCGTGACTTTTTTAAGGGTCTGGAAACAATGTTCTATGCTATCAATAGACTTTACGGGTAATCGAATCACCACTCGTTTAGATTAAAAGCATTCAATGAGGTACCACAGTTGGAAGACTGAATTATGTTATTTTATGTTGCGTAAGATGGAAACGAATTTTTCTCTTGATGCGTGTATCTTTTTTTAATATATGTATCGTTCGTGTAATTTTATTTCTGGCAGTTGATGACTTTACTGGCAATGAGCAGGCGACCGGAAACTGCATTGCGCTTTATCCAGCCGAAAGGGAAAGAATGCGTATTTAGCAAGGAGGATTGCGAAGTTTTCGAAAATCTGGAAAGCCGTAAACAACTTCCCGAGTCGAAAATAGAAATGGGAAAAAGTTTGGCTCTTGCTTGTGCCAAATTTGACCATTGGATGCTTGAGTGGACCAGTGCAATGCGGATTTTCTATCGGTTAACGATTCCTACGCAGACTTCTGCTACGCCTAAGGTTTGTTTTATGGACAGGCCTTCAAAAAAAAAAAAAGTTCCCCAGGACATGATGAACCAGCGTAGGATAGAGGGGAATGTTTCTAACCGCGAGTGACATCTACTCATGAAAAATGTTTTATTTGTGGAGTTCTTGGGAAAATTTTCAACTTTCTCAAGGTAGCGAAATTCTCGCTGCGCCATAAAATTTCGATAATTCGATACTTAAACTCATTCCAACAGGGACATAAGTTCCCAACCTAACTCAAAAAAAAAAAATCTAAGACTTTTGGGTTTATGACTGTTTCAAAGTGCAAAATCTAAGGAAAGAGCCTAAAGGACAGTTTGCGCGACTCGAAAGATCCGTTGACCGAGAACAACGGAGAGAAATTGCAGCGACTCAAAGCCGACATAACAAAGAAGACTTCATTCGATGACTTGATTGCGGTACTTGATAGCGCCTTGAGTGATGCTTGTCGTCTGAAACGAAAAACAAGTTGGTACCTTCTTATCACATAAACGAAAGGCATTTTTGATGATTATTTTCTGATCCATTTGTTATTCAAGAGCAAACTGAATCGCCCCGGCTGCAAAGGCAAGAAAGGTGTTTGAAGTTTGCCATTGAGAGTCTGGAAAAGGCACGTGACTTGAAAAAGGATTCCTCGCCGGTAACGGAAATTTCGGATTTTGTTGAAGAAGCAGCCATTGCATAGTTATCACTTCTACTTCTTTTGTAATGTTGCGCTGGAAAGAAGAGCAGCAGACGGAAGAAACAGCTGAATGTTTTGTCTCGTTTTGAATTGCAGAAGGTGTGTGAAATTGCCTTCTTTTTTTTTTTTAAAGGTCACTCTTGGATGTGTGTGTATTTGCAGTGTAAGTGAATCAAACTTTATTTTTAGACTTGTATACAGTTGAACCTCGATAACTCAAACCTCTGAAGTCGAGTGCGAACTATTTTTAAGTTCATGTACAGTATCTGGATTCCCCAAGAAACAATGCATTAAAATCCTTCCTGACTCGAATGCTTTCCCCTTCGAACGTGGGAAAATCGAATTTTCTGGAGGCATTTTGGCTGTTTATTTTTTTGACACAGGTAAAAGAAAAGCAATTAGACGACATTGGTCAAATGAACGCCTGTCTCCAAATTCGACATCCTGTCAACTCATATCAGAGGCAATTCAAAGAATCAGAATAGCATAAATTACAATCTCATGTAATTATTCCAATATTGAAAAATTTACAAATCTTCTCATTGACAGTGTAGCAGATCTTACTACTGTATTATGATCCTATTTTGAAAGAAGCTTTGATATTGGCAACTTTTTTAAAAATCGATTTCAAGGTTGTTCGGAGGATTCCGACCCTTAATCTTGAGTATCCGAAAATCTCAAATTGATTTATGGTACTGACAATTTTTTTTGTATCCTGTCTTGAGTTTGACGTCTATTCGCAGCGCTTAAGTTTTTTTTTTTTTTTTTTTTCTGAAGGAATCTTGGGTCTAAAGGCTTCAGACTTTTTTTATG